AAACTTTTGTTTGTATTTGTATATAGTTTTATAAGGCTGATAATATTCTTTTGGTACCTTATATTATTATATCAAAACATGAGTTTAGTACTCTTTTTTTATAGTAATATTAAAATGGTATCTCAACATTTTAGAAAGCATTTTTTAGTACCTTAAAGACATAAAATGTCATTACTTCCTCTATTTAATTTGCTCCAAAATTAAATTTTATAAAATGTATTAAAAAGATTTTTAAAAAAATAAAAAATAAAAAATAAAAACCTCGCATCCATATTTCTCAAATCTTACTCCAAAACCCCAAACCAAAGAAACCCCACCAACGCACACCCCCGACATCCATCCTACTATCCAAATTCTGCCACTCCCACCCCACTTCCGTCCAAAATATTGATGGAATAAGGGTGAGGGGAGAAAGTTGGAGAGGTTTCATAGTTCCATGAGCACAATATACACATTTTAAAATTTAAGGGACACGGTGACACAAGTAACAAAGTTAACAGGGAATTTATAAAATTTATCCTATAAATTTAAGAATTAATAAGAGATTTTCTTTTCTTGGTTTTAATTGCGGTAGATACTGTTTGTTTGCCTATTGTTTTTGAGGTTGTTCTCAATTTTCTTTTTCTATTTTTATTTTTTGAATGTTTTGAAATATTTCCATTTTCCTTTTTAAAATGCGTAGTATGTAATTAATTTAGTAGAAAGATAAAAAAAAGATTTTACGTTTCAAAAATGATCTCAAGTATTGAAAATATGTTTTTTTTTAATGCGAAAGTATTATTTCAATATTATCAAAAAGACAAGGTACCAAACATGTGTTTTTATATAACATAGGATACCGACATCATTTTTATATCTTTTAAATAAAAATTTTACGAAATCGAGTCAGTTCGGGTCATTGATTTAAGTCGTGTTCATGTTGTATTAACATATTACATTTTATATTGTCAGTCCTTACACTAATTATAATTTTATAAATAACTTTTGAACAATCTGGGGAAATAATCAACTGCTCAGCTCCCTCAAAATGTGTTCTAAGAAGGTAGAGGTGTCAAATGGGCCGGGCCGTCCATGGACGGCCCGGCCCAGCCCGTAATAGTGCATGATTTGGCACGGCCCGGATTAATTTAGTAGAAAGATAAAAAAAAGATTTTACGTTTCAAAAATGATCTCAAGTATTGAAAATATGTTTTTTTTTAATGCGAAAGTATTATTTCAATATTATCAAAAAGACAAGGTACCAAACATGTGTTTTTATATAACATAGGATACCGACATCATTTTTATATCTTTTAAATAAAAATTTTACGAAATCGAGTCAGTTCGGGTCATTGATTTAAGTCGTGTTCATGTTGTATTAACATATTACATTTTATATTGTCAGTCCTTACACTAATTATAATTTTATAAATAACTTTTGAACAATCTGGGGAAATAATCAACTGCTCAGCTCCCTCAAAATGTGTTCTAAGAAGGTAGAGGTGTCAAATGGGCCGGGCCGTCCATGGACGGCCCGGCCCAGCCCGTAATAGTGCATGATTTGGCACGGCCCGGTTCGTTACTGTTACGGGCCGGGCCGGCACGGCACGTGTAATGGACTAGGACTGGGCCTCAACTTCTCAGCCCACGGCCCAAGCACGTGGAGGCCCGCGGCCCGGCCCTTATTTGGCCCGGCCCAAGCCCTTATTCGGCCCGGCCCAAGCCCGCGAAAACGGCCCACGAAAAGCCCATTTCATTTGGTCCAGTGGGCCCTTCGCGGGCCCAACGTTCGCCACGTGACGGGCCTCCCGCTTCGCCCGTCATGGG